GTTTAACGAAGAGAAGGACGAGGGGGGACATGATAGCAGTGTTCCAATATCTCAGGGGCTGCCACAAAGAAGAGGGAGTCAGGCTATTCTCCAAAGCGCCTGAAGGCAGGACAAGAAGCAACGGGTGGAAACTAACCAAAGAGAGAAGCAACCTAGAACTAAGGAGAAACTTCCTGACAGTTAGAACAATTAACCAGTGAAACAACCTGCCTCCAGAAGCAGTGAATGCGCCAACACTGGAAGTTTTTAAGAAGAAACTAGACAGCCATTTGTCCGAAATGGTATAGGGTTTCCTGCCTGAACAGGAGGTTGGACTAGATAACCTCCAAGGTCCCTTCCAACTTTATCATTATTATCATTATTATACTAATTATAATTATACATAATGTAGGCATCAAATATGCACAAAAGCACGTATCAATATGTTGTTGATAAAAGGTTAGGATGTAGCACTGATTTTATTTACTTTGTATTTTGTAGCAGAATACAGCATTAATGCATAAAATTCACAAAATGTATAAAATGTACAAATAGCATATAAAATGTATATCAAAATGTAAAGTAGAAGTGAATTATTATAATACGAATGATGAGTAAAATTATGACTATAATTAAATTATATATGGACAGTTACAAATGATCAAGAAAATTAAACGCAAAATAGATGGGTCTAGATAAGATAAGGCAAGGCAAGGCAAGGCAAGGCAAGGCAGGATAGGATAGGATAGGATAGGATAGGATAGGATAGGATAGGATAGGATAGGATAGGATAGGATAGGATAGGATAGGATAGGATAAGGTGGGGTAAGGTAGGGTAAGACAAGACAAGACAAGATAGCCTTTATTGTCATTTTTTACTGTGGGCACACTGGCCACATTAAAAAAAAAAATCTATTGCCTGCTCTGCTATCCTGGGCAAGTGGCAGCTGCAGCCAAATATTCTTTCTCATAAGTAAGGGGGAAAGCCATTTTTCCTGCATCTTTTCCTGCTGTGGATGTTGATGAGTAATTGCAGAATTGGCTGAAATGGAAATATTTTGTTCAATCAATAAAGGTACATCTTATTTATTTATTTAGCATATGGCATTGCCATATAGGGACTAGCAATATACAGCATATTAACATTTCACTTAGATTTAGTAAAACAAAATAAAATATAAATGTTTAAAAGATCTATGTCCAAATACCAACGTCTAGGCCATCTAACCATTTAAGCACAGCATGGTTTATATTAAAAGAATGAGATACTGGACCAGTTTACTGCCAGTCACTATGTGATATACAGCTTGATGTGGGACCCTGCAGTCACATTAAGGGGAGAATACACGTGAGTGCCTGGGACTATGATAATAGTACTAGTCAATCCACCAAAGATGGATTCAGGGGATTTAGCTTCGGATTAAACTGATACAAACTCACAAATCTGCATATGTATTATTTCCTGTCGCAATACTTGTAAGAGGTTTAACAAGGAAGGCGGGACAAGAAAAAAAATATTGTATTGTTCTTCTAGTTGACCACTTGGTGTCTCCCTTCTCTCAGTGTATGCTAAAAGATGAATGCTAAGAGAGCTTTTTACAACGAACATTGAATAGTTGTGCAAAAGACTTTCAAGTCTCCTGCAAAAGGCATTACAGTAATGCATTAAATGTTTAAGAATGTTTAAAATATGCATTACTTTTTCAAAATGTCCCTCTTGACCATTAAAACATATCTGGGAGTGTTCAACAGTTCAACACAAGAACTACACATATTCTCTCCTATTATTGAAATGTATAATTATGAAGTTAGCAATAATAGTGGCTTCTTCTTACTCACTCTGTCTTATTATTTTGTGTCCTGAATTGATAAGGTTAATACTATGAATTTGAAAAAAATGCTGAAAAGGGTAAGGACAAACCATATTCATATGATTGCTAGGAAAATATTTTCACCAACTCAATTTGAAGGAGATTTTAAGTGAAAGTCAAAAAACCATTAAGATTCTCATATTAAAACCATTAATAATAATAAAAATAGTGGCAACTAATATCATCTTGATAGAGAGTGGCTGGATTTGCTAAACTAATGTGAGTTTAGGTACTTTGTGGTTTTAAAAATAGATAATAAACTCAGATTATAAACCCATTGCTTGGTCACCAATCCTGGGATTTTCTCACCTAAAACCTTTGAAGTATTATTAATACTAAAATATGTTTTGAACAAATCCACATTAATGGTATTTTAAATAGGACATTATACATAGTGTTATTAGAGTGAATAAAGAT